CCCTGGGGGGCGGAGCCGGGGTGCCAGGCGCAGGGCGGGGAAAGGGGGGCAAGGCCGGGGGCAGTCAGCGGCCTGGTATCATCCCTGCCTGCAGGTACCTGGCTGAGCGGGGCCTGGCCGAAGGACATGGCCCCCCCCGGTTCCCCTCCCCCTACGGCCCGGCGGAGCGGGACGGGGTCTACCAGACCTTCAGCCTGGAGGGCTGGGCGGGGCGCAGCGGGCATGACGCCCCCATGATCGCCTACGACGCGCTGCTGGGCGCTGGCGACCGCTGGGACGAGCTCTGCAGCCGGGCCATGTTCCACGGGGGTGAGTCCGGCCGCCCCAGAGCCAAACGCATCCCCGGCCCCACCGCGCCCCAGAGCCAGCCGCATCCCCGGCCCCACCGTGCCTCAGAGCCAGCCGCACCCCTTATGCTGCACCCCAGAGCCAGCCGCATCCCCGGCCCCACCGCGCCTCAGAGCCAGCCGCACCCCTGGTCCCGCTGCTCCCCAGAGCCAGCCGCACCCCAGGGCCCGCCTCCCAACTCTGAGCCCTGTATAACCAGCCCCCTCCGCCCGCCGCATCCTGGCCCCGATGCCGGTATACACAGCTCCTAGAGCCCTGCCGCAGAGCCAGCCGCATCCGCACTCCAATATACCCAGCCCCCAGCTCCCTGCCCCAGAGCCAGATGCATCCTTGCCCAGATGCTGGTACACACAGTGCCCGGCATCCCATCCCAGAGCCAGCTGCCTCTCGGCCCCAATATACACAGCCACCGGCTTCCCACCCCAGAGCCAGCCGCATTCTGGTCCCGATGCCAGTATACACAGTCCCCGGTGTCTCACCCCAGAGCCAGCCGCATCCCGATGCCAGTACACACAGCTTACGGCCCCAGAGACTACCTCACCCCAGTTGACCCCGGCCCGACTCTCCCAGCTGGGGCAGGGCCCAGGTCGCCCCCCAAACTCATCCTCCTGCCTGGCCAACCTCCCTGCCCCTTCCAGGGACTGCGCCCCTGCTGGGCTCCAGCTGCCACAGGCCCTGCTCAGCCCCCCAACCTCCACAGTTGCAGTGGGGCAGGTTAATTGGCCTGGTCTGACCCACATTGACCCACTCAGGGCTCGTGTGGGGCAAACACCCCATTGCAGGATCCCCATGTGTCCAGCCCCCGCCCCAGAGGGGTCCCCGGGTGCCCCACCCCAGAGGGGCCGCGTCTCACCTGTGCCGATCTCCCCGCAGGAGACAGCGACTCGACGGGTGTCATTGCGGGGTGCTGCTGGGGGCTGGCGCACGGGCTGGCCGGGGTCCCCGAGGGGAATCACCGACACCTGGAGTACCGGCACCGCATGGAGGCAGCCGCCGACCGGATCCACGCCCTGGCCTGGGGGGAGAGCGCCCCGTGAGCGGGGGGACCCCGCACTGCCCAGACACCTGGGTTCCTTCTTAACCCCACCACGCTGGCCTCCCACCCTGCACTCAACAGCCAACCCAGCCGCAGGCCAGGGCTGGATTTGGGGGGTCCCCCATTCCCCAGACACATGGGGGAGGGGCACCAAATTCCCAACCCCCCCCAGTGCACGCTCCTGGCCCCCCATGAGCCACGGGGCCCCACCTGCTAGCACCTCCTACTGCTGCACCCAGGACACCAGGTCTCCCGGGTCAGCGTCGCTGCTCCTGGCACCATCCTGCTCAATAAACCCGTCTCCTGCCTTCCCGTGCCGGCGGGGGTCATTTCGGGGGGGCCCGGGGCCCGTGCCAAGGAGCAGGCGTCCCCCGGGGGATGGGCGAGGCCAGGGTGCAGGGGAGGAGTGGCCAGAACCCAGGCGTCCTGCTCCCTGCAGCGCAGCACCCCCAGCACCCCACTGATCCCAGCACTGACTGCCAGGGAAGGGCCCCCCACAGCCCCCCACGCTGGCTGCCTGCTGTGCTGTCCCCTCCTGGCCCTGCTCTGCTAGGGTTACCATATTTCCACAATCAAAAAAGAGGACACGGGGGGGAGCCCCGCCCTAGCCCCGCCCCCATCCACTCCCTCCCACTTCCCACCCCCTGACTGCCCCCCTCAGAACCCTAACCCCCCCTGCTTCTTGTCCCCTGACTGCCCCGACCCTTATCCACTCGCATGGGTGGCAGGGTTGTAGAAATTTTGGTGTTGCCCAGAACCCACCCCCCCCACACCTGCCTAAGGCTCTGGGAGGGGGGTTGGGTGGGGGGAGGAGGTCTGGGGTGCAGGTCCTGGGCTGGGGATTAGGGTGCAGGAGGGGTGCAGGGTGCAGGTTCTGGGATAGAGTTTGGGTGCTGGGTGCAGGCTCCGGGCTGGGGCAGGGGGTGGGTGTGCAGGAGGGGGTGAGGGGTGCAGGCTCTGGGATGGAGTTTGGGGATAGGAGGGGATGCAGGGGTGAGGGCTGTGGGTCTGAGGATGAGGGGTTCATGATGCAGGAGGGGGCTCAGGGATGGAGCAGAGGATTAGGGTGTGGGGGATGAGGGCTGGGGCTGAGGGGTTTGGGGCGTTGGAGAGGCTCAGGGCTAGGGTGGAAGGGCAGGGTAAGGGCAGCCTGTCTTCCCATTAGTAGATGGGGGACACTAGGACCTGGGGGCAGCAGACAAGGGAGAGGCAGGCGGGGCGGGGCCGACAGGGGGGGGACGACGCGAGGAGGGGGGGTGGCAGGTGGAGGCCGGGGACCCATCCAACACTCTCCCACTCCCTGACTGCCCCCCCCCCCTTACCATTCTGGCTCCACGTGTTTGCAAAACACGCTGCCCGGTGGGTCGGTTTGTGTGTTACACGGGGCAGCAGACAGAGGGAGGGGGGAGCAGGGGAGGGCTCTGGCTGCTGGAGGCCAATGGGAGTGGGTCAGTTGGCCCAGCCGCCCAATCAGCAGCCGCACTCTGCATGGAAGGGAGGGAGGGAGGCGAGGGAGAAAAAAACCCCGGACCTTTTAACCTTGTTACCAATTGCTCCCGGACGGCTGTTTAGAGACGCAAAAGCCGGACATGTCCGGGGAAATACGGACGGATGGTAACCCTATGCTCTGCAATCCCCCAGGGCCACCTTCCCGCAGGCCTTGTGCCCCAGCTGGGGGGGGGGGGGAAGAGATCAGCCCCCCGGGAACCCAGGCCCCCCTCTGCTCTAAGGGCTGTGCCCCCAAACCTGCTACTGGCTCCCCAGAGGGGCCTGCAGCCCCCAACTTTCTGCTCAGCCCCACCCGGCTGGGCCCCGTCAGCCATTAAACCAGCTCCTGTCAGCGCCCACCCGCTCTTCCCCCAGCTGCTCCCAGCTCTGGTCATTGGCCTCCGCCAGCCAGCTGAGGTCACTCAATCAGAGTGAACTGCAAACAGACCGGGGCAGACAAACCCCAAACGCTGGTGGATCTTCCAATACTTAGATTTACCAACCAGCCCAAAACAGCTTCTATAGGACCTCACTGGTTACTCAGAGTCCAAACAACGCAGTTCCCTTAAAGTGCCCAGTGTCCGGCCTCCGTCCAGACACACATGTCAGATATGATGATGATTACTGACAATCTTATCTCATCATATAAAAGAAAAGGTTCTTCCAATCCCAAAGGGTCAGCCACATACCCAGGTTCAGTTACAACTTAGATCTTACCCAAAATACACGGTATAGTCAATTCTTATGAACTAAACTAAAATTTATTAAAAAGAAAAGCGAGAGAGTGTTGGTTAAAAGATCAATATACAGACAGACTTGAATTCAATTCTTGAGGTTCAGACACAGCAGAGATGAGCTTGTCGTAGCCAAAAGTCCTTTTAGAAATAGTCCATAGGTTATAGTCCAATGTCCATATTCAGGGTGGCTCCAGTCAGTGACTGGGGATCTCAATCCTTGTGGCTTAAGGTTTCCCCCTCTTGAAACCCAAAGCAGATCTGAGATGAAGTAGGATCGTGTCCCAGGGTTCTTATACATTTCCAGCAGCTTTTTGGCCTGAGAAAACAATGGGCTTAATTCTCCTTCCAAACATCCTGGCAATTAGCACAGGGTAATTTATCCATGAAACAGTTCAGATCCAGGTTACCACAACCTTCAAAGAGACATAGAGACAATAATACTGTTCCCTCAAGTATCATCATAATTGTTAATATTCCTGTTTTGATCTGTGAATCAAAGCTCTAGCGATAGACAAGACTTGTTTGCTGACCCCACAAGCCCTGAGCACACAGCTCCCGTCTACCTCTAACAACCCCGGCTGCATTTCCCAGCTCTGCTCATTAACAGATCTTCCGAACCAGTCGCTACAGTTGGGCCCTGGGTCAGGTCAGTCTGGGAGGTAATTAACTCTTTCTGGCCCTGTCACCTTCCAATGAGATATTATATCACACTCCTAACGTCACACTCCCCCAAAATCCCCAACCTCAATTGCCCCCCCCGCTCTGAGCCCCCCGGCTGGGCAGTCAACTGGACAGGACATCTGAGTTCCTGGTCTTGTCCTCCTGCCCCATTGTCCACATGCAGCCTGAGGAGAGCCACCTGCCATGGAGACGGGCAGGAAACCCATTGGCTGAGGAGTGGGCTCTCCCTTGGGGCCCTCCCACCAGGGTGATGTGAAGAGACAGCCTGGGCACCGCCCCAAAGGACAAACTGGGGCCACGGGGCTAAGTCTGTCCCATTCGCACCCCCCACCTTGTGTGATAACCAGAGCAAGACGCCTGCTGAGAGGCTCAGTGAGAATCCAGAACGATACCACACAAGAACCCAAATCAAGGAAAGAAGAAGCAGGCTGCTCCCTGCAGCAAAGGGCTTCACTCACCCCCTGGCTCTAGGCTGGCTACCCCACTGACTCTCCACACTGACAAACTGCCCCCAAAAGGCCCCATCTCCACTGCACCCTGCAGCCGGCTCAGCTCTGTGGGGGGAGAACGGGGGGGAAGCTGGACTAACTTACAGCATTAAAGGCTGTGCTGGGTGAGCTGCATTCACACTAGCAGCACTTCGGTGTATTGGGGAGCGGGGGGGATCAGGCAGTGGGAGCCTTGCGGGGGGGAGTTTTCTTAAGGTGGAATTGCCAAAGCAGGGTCTCACAGGGTAGCATAGTGGGGGGGGCTAAGGGAGGCCCCCATATCTCGGGGGGCTCTGGGCAAGCAGAGGGGGATTCTGCCCCCACCCTCTGACTGAAGCCCCCAGTGAAGGGGGAGCTGAGCTGGGTTTTCCGGGGTCTCTTGCAACTCCCACCATAACAGAGGGGGGCCATCCCATATCACCCAGCAGAGAGGGGCCCCTGCCCTAGAGGAAGGGCTTAGCCCCCGCCCCATGGGGGGAATCTCCTGTAACAGACACCGGTGATATCCCATAAGAGACCCCAGCCCCACCCCATGCCCCACGATGGGATTGAACCCCAGAACGGGGTCCTACACCCCACAATTCCCCCCTGCAAAGCTTGCCATCCCATAATACCCCAAGCCCCATATGCTCAGTGCCCCAGAGATGGGTGTTAGCCCTCCCCCCACAACCGGGTTCTGGGAACCAAGGGTCCTGCATCCCAAAATTTCCACCTTAAAAGCTTTGGAGGGGACACCCCATGAGACCCCCTGCCCCACCTCTGCAGGGGGGCTGAGCTGCAGGGAGCGCCCCGTGGGGGTCACAAAGGGGATGTGAACCCAGGACCCTAATCAGAGACATGGCACTGAGCCCTCTGCATCTGAACCCAGGCGTCCTGGCTCCCAGCCCCCCTGCTGTAACCACCAGCCCCCAGTCCTCTCCCAGAGCCGGGGAGAGAACCCAGGAGTCCAGGCTCCCAGCCCCCCTGCTCTAACCCCCCAGCTCCCCCTCCCTTCCCAGAGCCAGGGAGAGAACCCAGGCGTCCGGGCTCCCAGCCCCTGTACCAGCCAGCAGATGTTGGCCAGGCGGGTTTATCCAGCAGCTGTCCTGGTCAGGATAACGACAGGTCGCGGGGGTGAGGATAATCCCCTGACGTGGGAGCGACTATAAACCCCCACACCCAGCCTGGCACGGCCGCCTCCTCCAGCCACAGCTCCGGGGCAGCAGCCAGCACCATGCAGAATGCCCTGGGGCCCGCCTGCATCTTCCTGCGCAAGGGCATCGCCGAGAAGCATGGGGTGAGACGCCTGGTTCTGCGAGGGAAGTGGGGGCTGGGAGCCCGGACGCCTGGGTTCTCTTCCGGCTCTGGGAGAGGAGTGGGGGCTGGTGGGTTAAAGTAGGGGGGC